AGGGGTATACACTTCCTGTTACGTGGTACTTCCTGATTGGTTGAAACAACCAGGAGGGGTGTGGTTCTAGTGATGTTAGAGGGTCACTAGAAGTCAAGAGACAGCAGGAATGTTTTTAAATACGGTTAGTACAGACAGAGAAATATTATGACGAGGTGAGACAAAGCAGGTGCCAGTTGAAGTTATTTACTGTCTGCAAGGTTTAAAAACAAGACACTTCGTTCTAATAACTTGTCTCTGTTTGTCTGACTTTCGACCGACATCACTACTCCTCATTCAGACAGAAAGTTAAAATGCACACTTACTTCATAAATAGACATTTAACTGTATGATCAAAAATCTGCTGAGGTTTAAAAATCATTAATACTGTTTCACAGTTGATTTAAATGAGTAGTTCACTTCAACATTTAGAAATGGTATGAATTAAACACACTTTTGATTATCAAGATATTTTAAGAGTAATGATAATATAAAAAAGAAGAGTGTTCTTTCAATTGATTAATTCAGGATACAATTAAATAGTCTCTTGACGAGATCATTTGTATTTCTGGATTAAAATCAATGAAACAGCAGTTCCTGTCCCCTGAAGGTCTTCAGAGACAGATTGTTGTCGGAGGCCTAGTTCACTACAGAACTAGAACAGGAAAATAACATGAAAACCAATTTTCACACTCAGAATCATTGTAAAGTCTGAAACATTGCACACATAATTCCTACCTAGCATGTTTTGCAACGCTCATACTGTCTCTGGGACGTGACTCTCACACATTTCACACATCTTTACTTTATTACAAACAGATTTATTACAGAGAAAATATTGATGATGACACATAGCATCTTTGTAGTTTATAAAAGTAGTTAATCACGCAGGATCGTTAAAGTGAGTTAATTTATTATAGTTAATGATGAGGAAGATGTCCAACACACACTGAATGCATCACTCTGCTTCAGGAACAGCAGAATTCTGCTCCACTTCTTTGGTTCTGGACCAGATTAATGTCTGAAAGCTCACCTCTAAATAGGACATGGATGATTTGATTTATGAACCGTTTTGAGTTGTGTTCACTTATGTTGTCACATTAGTCTTACAGTATCAGTGAGCAATGTATGATAAAAGTTAGCACTTCAGCATTAGCTTCCGTTAAAAATTTCTTATCTGTTAATTGTTAGCGATGCTATTTTTTTAAGTTGGTGAAGCTAACGTTTTGGTTAGTTGTGCCCACCACTGTATACCATGAATCAGTAACAGTTAAGGCATCTACAGGTGCATTAAAAAAATTGAATATTGTGAAAAGTTATATATTTTTACCAACCATTTCAGAAAGTGAAATTCATATATTACATTGATTCATTGCACAGAGTGAAATAATTCAAGCCTTTATTTCTTGTAATTGTAATGATTATGGCTTACAAATAATGAAAAAACAAAATTCTGTGTCTCAGAAAATTATACAATGAAACCTGTAACACCAAGAGAAAACCGTCCAGGACTGATGGATATTATAGATGATCAGAATCAAAATAACGACAAAAATATTGACAACTGATGTAAGATTAAGGCTTTCAAGAACTAGAACCTATTGGCTAACCTATAAAAATCTACTTAACTGAAATAAATTCTGACAAGATTTACATCTTACGATTTAGTTCTACTTGCCATGATTGTACAATTTATTGCCAACTGTCGACTGTTTAACAAGGGTTAAGATGGTGTGTCACTTAGCTGCCAATTGTTGGTGAACAGCACTCCTGACTCCTGTCTACAGAACATTTTGCAATGATTGTTGTGGTTCTATATTTTCTGGTGTTGTCTCAGAGGCTTGTAGACCTGTTGCCTAAGCTTGGAACACATTTAAACCATTATGTGATTTAAAAAAATTGTTACAAAGTAGATGGAGACATCTTCATCTCATATGCAGGGATTTAGAACTATATTTTGACACCTGCAAAGGAGCTCCATCCATCCATTATCTTTTACCCGCTTCTTCCATTTTGGGTCACGGGGGTCGCCGGTGCCCATGTCCGGCAATCACTGCGAGGAGTGGGGTACACCCTAGACGGGTGGCAGATGTCTGGGTATAAAAATAAATTACTTTTGCAACATGGGCCTTTCTTCCACAACTTCTCCTCCTCCACCATAACCCTCAGCACTGGCTCTCCACAGGGCTGTGTGTTGAGCCCCCTCCTGTTCACTCTGCTTACATATGACTGTGCACCTACCCATCCAGGCTGTCATATCAAGTTTACTGATGATACTGCAGTGGTTGGCTGCATCACAAACGAGTCCAGCTACAGACAGGAGGTGGAACACCTAGAGAGCTGGTGCAGGAAGAACCTTCAAATCAATGTGAAGAAGACGAAGGAGATGGTCATGGACTTGAGACAGACCCCCCCCCCCCTCCCCCCCAGCAAATACTTTTGAAATACTGCTTATTTAACTGTTAAAGGCCTTTTATTAAGTAAAAATTCAACTGAGACACACCTTTGTTATAAAGTCGAGCAAACAAATAATTGTTTTTAGGTAGTTATCTTGTTAAATTTGCACAGCGACTCGTCCCGTGCACGTGCTTCCGTGTATGGGCTTTTGAAATGCAGCTGATTTTATCGCCAAAGTGTATTAATTAAGCAAAAGTTAGATTGAAACACACCTTTACTATAATTTTGAGCAAACAAATAATTGTTTTTAATTGTTAATCTTGTTAAATTCTTGTTAAAGTCCTCCCGTGCACGCTCCAGCAGCCGTCATTTGGCAGCCAATCATTTTGGGCACAACACCGGCCCACATTTCCAGGTTGTCAGCGATGACGTGTAACAAATGCGACGCGTCAGCAGTGATTCATAATAGATGCGACGTATACAGCGAAGCAACATACATTGCCTACCCCCCAAAAAAGTTGCCACCAAAAAAAAGGTCACACACTAATATTTCATCGGACTGCCTTTAGCTTTGATCACGGCATGCATTCTCTGTGTCATTGTTTCGATAAGCTTCTGCAATATCACAAGATCTATTTCCTTCCAGTGTTGCATTCATTTTTCACCAAGATCTTGTATTGATCACTAGTCACTAGGCATAATGGGTGCATCACTTCACCTGCCTCTCTTCTTACCCTGATGCATCCATCACTCTGGAACAGGTCTGGACTCATCAGACCACATGACCTTCTTCCATTGCTCCACAGTCCAATCTTTATTCTCCCTAGCAAACTGAAGCCTTTTTTCCAGTTAGCCTCACTGATTAGTGGTTTTCTTAAGGCTACACAGCTGTTCAGTCCCAATTCCTCGAGTTCCCTTCACATTGTGCATGTGGAAATGCTCTTACTTTCACTATTAAACACAGCCCTGAGTGCTACTCTTGCTTTTCTTCCATTTGATTTCACCAACTTTTTAAGTGATCGCCGATAACGATCATTCAGGATTTTTTTTCCGGCCACATTTCTTCCTCAAAGATGATGGGTCCTTCCAGTTTTTAATAATGCGTTGGACAGTTCTTAACCTAATTTTAGTAGTTTCTGCAATATCCTTAGATGTTTTCTCTGCTTGATGCATTCCAATGATTTGACCCTTCTCAAACAGACTGACATCTTTTCCACGACCACGCCATGTGTCTTTCGACATGGTTGTTTAAGAAATGAGAAGCAACTCATTGCAGCAGTTGGAGTTAAATAACTTGTTGCAGATGAAAGATAATCGCCCATGCAGCAATTATCTAAAAGGAGGCTTGTGCCTATTTGCTTAGTTAAATCCAGGTGGTGACTTTGTTTTTGGCCAGGCAGTGTATTTATGGATTTTTCCACTTTATTAGACATATTTGGACTGATGTGACTTATAGGGCATAGTGACGTTTACGGCGCAAAATATGGTATGGTGTGAAAGACAATAAAGAAACCTTGATCCTTGATCCTATCTTCATTTCCAAAAAGTACTTCAGCAATTTAAATAAATCACAAACATGCTAGTGGCTACAAATGTAGGTAAAAAAATTAGACTATGTGTACATCAAATACTGTGCATAGCCAAGAATGCAGTTTTGCAAGAAGCACATGAAAATTGTTATTTTCAAAAACAGGCTGCCAAAATCCAGTTGCATAGCTCATTGGCTGCAAATACTTAGAATTCAGTGAAAGTGCAGCTGAAAATTTGCACATTTTCTTGTAATTCCCTGCAATTTTGAGTCACCAACTAGTCTCACAGTTAAAGCTCCAGTATACTCGCGTGTCCTGTCAGCCACGTGGAAACTGTGTGCACTGTCCAGCAGAGGGTTGAGACGTCATACTCGAGCCTCCACCCAGAGTGGCTGCAGAGCAGCTCCACAGACAAGGGGCGTTTATCTTCGGGACAAATTAAGGTTGCCGATTGGTCATTTGCTGACATACCTACTGGATTGATTGACAGGTCGCAAACAAAAAAAAAAGGAGATGGCAGCCCCAGCCTTGTCCTGTGTTTATATGTTGTAAATGAAAAGTTCTTAAAAAACAAACAAACAGGGAGCACTGGTCCTGCAGCCCACACATCAGACCAGCCCGGCAGGAAATCTTCAGACCCTCCCACAGCCACGATGGACCTGATTTTAATTAGCTCGTGACAAATTCCTTCGTATCTCACCATTTCATTCATGGCGTCAACAGAAAATCTTGGAAAAAAAAACTAAAGAAAAGCCCATTAAACCAGATCAGGTATGAAGAAGGGGAACTTAACACATTGGTGTTGCATACAAACTTTCCATCGCTGGGCAGTTTATTGTGCGACACAGAGTATGTGTACGTAGTCGTAAATATCGAGTTTTGCCTGAACATGCCCTGCGAGCGTAAGCTTCAACTCTAATCCAGTACGCGCGGACCTCCGCGGACCCACATACGCGCGAGTATACTGAAGTCGTTACAGCTCAGTGAGGTATCAACTTAACATCAACTAGGGGAAACAGAGAAGTTCTTGAATTAAAAAAAAAAGACTTCCAGGAATGTGACAGCCAGTCAACTTGTGGGTGTTGGGTCTATGTTTTAAGACAGGTCCCCTGCAGAGTCACTTTCATCATAGTCCCAGGTTGTTCCAGCATCCTTAAGGGCAACCAGTGACATATCATCTTGTACATCGTCCTCGTCTGATTGTATCAGCAGCCTAGCATCGTCCTCTTCCTCCTGCCACTCTCCAACTTGGCTCAACAGGTGGTTGTCTATGAGTGTCACTTGGGCCAATGAGTCAGAAGAGCAGGACTCATGGTCTGCACCTGTTAGAAAGGATATCATTTCACTGATTAAAGCTAAGTAATGCTAAGATACAATATAATTTAATAAACAAACAGTCACTGCAGACAATCAAGTGATGGGCAGGCCTGGAATTTTTTTCTTTAAATTTGATATTCAAACACATTGTGAAGGTATTATTGGTGTAAAACAATTCTCACATTTGTATAAGTAAATCTGTAGTGCTGAGTTTCCAAGGCAGGAGCTTCATTTTTGAGTAAAACTGAGCATTCTCTTTTTTATGCGGCTACACCATAAATGTATAACCCTGAAAACCGAATGTCCCCCACTAACATGTTGAGAACTGAGGCCAACAGGAACCATTTTACAGTAGCTGATGCCTTTGTAGAACCATTGTCTGTGCACTAGCAATTTGTGGCTTTTGGCCCCACCTACTCTCCCACACATCGTCACACTGGACAGGATACAGCAAATTACTCACGTTTTGAAGCAGTTCCTCCACTAACAGATTCTGGACTCAGATTTTTCTTATTTTTTAACTGGAGAGGATATGGTTCTTGATGTTTTAACTTATCTGATTGGCATGTGGCCAACTCATATCAACTTCTGCTAAAAATACTTAATAGTATTCATAACACTGCACTTCCGGGAACATGGTGCCGGTGCTGGTGGATTGCCGTTCACCTCTGTCTGTTTTGATAGTTTTTTTTTTTTTCCTGTTTTTGTCATTTTTCTTCGGTGACATCAACTCACTGCTCGTTTATGATCGCCAACAACTTTTAAATATACAGTTATCTACTGCAAACCCCGCCTTGTTCGACCAATTTGATTGGGGCTCTGGACCCCTACCCCCTCTGCTTGTTGATGTCCCTGTTTACCTGCAGCGCGCGGCATTTCTGCCCGCCCGAAAACAACTTGTTCTTGGTTGAAAACTGGATTGTATACCTGGATTATTGAGCATGGACTTTGTTGCATTTTATGCAATTAAATAAGGTGGTTGATTTTTCCCTACGGGTCATGAATGGTCATAAAGTTAGCGAACAATAAAAGGGTTAACCTGGAAGCTTCAGAATTTGTCCAGATAAAACATTATTCATGTCATATTACTGTCACACACCCACAGATTGGATAAAATCTGGATTTAGCTCATAATCATGACTTAAACTTGAAGCAGGTTTCATATACAGGTTGAACTTTTTGATTTTTTTTTAAAGTTTCTGGCAAATTAAAAAGAATACAGATCATTAAAATAATAAAATTTAAAAAGTATATATATCCTGCTAATGAACTTTTAATTAACAGTATAAAGACCTTTTGTTGGATCGCATCAGTCTTGAGACAGCCTATGCCTCCACATCAGCCAATCTCTCTGTAGCGGAGGTGGGCGAGCCCCTTTGATTTTGTCCCGTGGGGCATTGTGCTTGATGTGTGGGAGTATCAGGGCTGGGGGTATCGGGGGGGATCGTGAGCCCGGGGCTATGGCCCTGACTGGGGAGGGAACTTTGGTGGTTTTGGGGGATGACCTCTGCTGGCTGCATGCAGGCTTCTGGGCAGTCTGTGCCGGCAGACATAGGTTACTGGCCTGGTGGCCTGGCTGCTCCTGGGGTGGGCTTGGGCTTCTGGGGAGTATCGCCTCCGGGTTGGGGTCTCGGCTGGGTCCGGGGTTCTCGAGTCTTGGTGAGTATGTTGTCGGGTTCTTGGGCTGGTGCATGCACCAGTGCCCAGCCCTGACCTGGGAGCCCTTGGTGCGCTGGTGGGCTTTGGGGGCCTCTCCCGCGGGGGG